GACGAGGTTGGCCGGGAGTACAATGACGACTTCCTTGGGGCGGATATCAAGACATACTATTGGGGAGATGTACGTGTCTGAAATTATTCTAACTAGCACCTTGTTCCATCTATATGCCCATTCCGAAGCGCCAGTCCCAAATCCGCATCTATCCAAGCGGATTAGTGGAGAGGGCGAGATACTTCTCAGCCCTTCTATCCCATAATACATTTAACTCGTTATATCATGATTCTTTCAATGTCCTCCTAGCCAAAGAACCCCGACGCCCAATGCTAATGGAGAAATAATACAGTTCTCTGAGTGGGAAACCCCGCGAACATCCTCCAGTCCCGTCCCAATGAAACATCTTTTGTGAGCGACAAGAGTACAGGCAGTGGTGTAAAACATTACAAATTAGGGGGTCACGCTAGCGTAGACCAGATCAGACAAGATTGTTAAAACTTGCCTCCGATGCCCATGGCATCGACGACGTGAGCCTCTTTTTCGACGACCCAGCCGGTTTGCACGTAGTTGGAGAGCCAACTGACCTCGCGTCCACGGTGGCCATCACAGTCACGGCATCCGCGTCTCGCCATCTCGAGTCCGGTGACACCGTCCATGACGCCGCTTCTGCCGCCGACAGTCGCTCCCAGACCGGTCCAGCTGAGGCGACGGCTGTCCTTCCGGGATCGGCGCGTCTGCGCGTAGTTTGCCATGGCAGCGAGCTCGCGCTTCTCGGCAATATCGCGGTCGATCATCATGACGTAGTCGAGGATACTGCTGGGTGCTTGCGGCGATGAAGGGTCGGGGAAGAGGGCCGAGAGGTAGTCTGTCAGAAGCATCACGGGCCGCTGGTCCGGAACCCAGTGGCCAGAGGGTTGGGGAACCTGGTTCTGGATCACGAAAACGCCACCGCAGAATCGGCCGTCAAGCTTCTTTTGAACTGAACGGAGAACACCCATTTGCGCAAAGGGGTCATTCGCATAGGCGAAGTGCTCGATGTGAGGACCACGCTCTTCGACCACCGCGGTGGAACCATCCTCGAAGCGGGTGACCTTGCGGCTGGTTTCTCCGAGAGGCGCCACAAATTCAGAAGCCGCAGCACCAAAGGTGTAGATCTCCAATTTGGAGAGCTTTTCCGCTTGGATATCGGAGCAGAGGCGAGCGAGAACGTGGGCGACGGGCAGAGAGCCGTTGTTGTGGGCGAGCACGGCGACTCGGTGGACGGCGGCGTCGAGGAGGGCTGTGCGGAGCTCGGTGTAGAGGGCGCGCGAGGCTTGGGTTTCGAAAGGGAAGCACCGCTGGATGGCGAGGAGGAGCATGTCGAAGGGGAGTCCGTAGGTGGCCATCTGAACACCGCTGAAAGAGCGTCCAAAAAGGCGGGCGAGTCGAGGAATCGTACATTGTTTGAGGTGTGTTGAGCTTCGTGGGTGTCAGTTTCCGTAATATCGCTTTTCAAGAGGTGGAAGAGAAGAGGCCTTACCTCGTGCCCATCCCGCCAATGAAGATCCATCTCTCCTCATCATCGTCAATATCGGTTGTGCTGTTTCCAAACTCGTCGCAGCTGGTCATAACTTCGTTTCCGTTCATCAACCAACTCAGACCCAGGACCATGCTCATTGAGATTCCCAGCCAAGCCCCGAACAGAATCCCCGGAAGAATAATGAACAAGGGGATGGCGAGCGTCACTATCCCAACTTCGACAATGGCCAGACTGAGTTGGACGACGATGTCCTTGAGGTGGCTCTTGGAAAGGTGCTGACGATGGTTGGCGACATGTGTTCTTAGCGAAGCCATCAAACCCGGCATCATCTGCCACATTTCCCGTAGATCTTCATGAAGCAATGGCAAAGTCGGCTTCTGCGCTAGTGGTACGGTTCCGCAAGCTCCATCTATAAGTGGTGGTATGTATGTTACCGAAGGTCCGCATGTCTTGATCGGTCCGCAAGTGCTGTTCCTTGGTGATGTGCGTGGGGAGCCGGTGGGCGACTGATACGATGGTGATCTTGATAGCCACGGCATGACAGGCGAGGTCGTGGGAGATCTTTTTGCTGCTATGAACGGCATCGAAGCGACCTCTCTGGGAAAATCAAAACGCAGAACGAGAGAAGGATATAGAGAAAGATGGCGGATTGAGGTCAGGATGTAGCTAGTGAGCTCGGAACGAAAGCAAGGGGGTTCGATCAAGAGGTTAAGGTTCCACCCATGAAGATTCACATGCAACCCCGTCTTCTTTTAATCTTCGTTTGGTTGTTGTTGTTGATGTCTCGTCGTTCACGCCGATTTTTAGTGCTCCCTCTCCCTTATCATTCCTGTCGCCGCTCGGGCAATCTTGTTGCAGACACCGGCGCAAAACGCTTGTTCGGTGGCGCATTCTTCGGCCAAATTCGCCCCGTGCCTTGACCATCTAGAATTAAATCGTACCCTATTTGAGCCAGAGTGAGAAATTGGTTTAGGAAGTCTGTTTGGGTTCTCGTCGAAGCTGGTTTGTTTACTTTCGAGCTCATCCCGCTTACAAGACTTGCTGCGATCTCACGAGGGGTTCGTTAGACATTGTCTTCAAGAAAGCTGATTGGTGATATTTTACACGACAAGTTGATCTTGTGAATAGGAGAACAAGATCCCCCAAAAGCTAGCCTCCCTCAACCTTGCAGCCTTCAAAGACCTTGCAGCGGTCCGTCGATTCTCGTCCGAACTCTGAGCAGAATTCAGATGGCATTGATCACCCCGGCTACTCGGGTTCCAGAGCCGGGTCGATCCCGTTGCGGCTGGAAGCCGGGGTCTTGCAGGAATTCCTTTGGAGTGAATGGTGCACCGAGCAACAGACTTCCACCTTGCAGCCCTAAGAGAAAGAGGCGCACAGATTGGGCCATTATTTCTGCCCGCTCTTCTTCCACTAAGCCGCTTGAGCTCAGGGTTCTGGTGAGCCTCAGGGGAACTAAAAGGCGAGAAGGCGATGGATTGTAAGCCGGTATTTTCGTCTAAGCTTTAGTAGCGGATCTTAGCCGCATGCTCCCTTGCATGTGAAGTTCTGACGTAAGTTGGTCTAGTCTCCCGCGCGCCCGGCAGAGCACGTTTTTCTTTGTGCCCGGATGGTGAGCTTCGATCTCCGATAGGGCCGTGATTCCGGCGTAAGACTTCAGTCGAGCTTCGGCCCACCACCCAGAGATGGGGAGAACGCGGGAGGACGAGAACCTCTTACACACTAAGCAAAGCCAATTGAGGATTGACCCCCAATATGATAGAGCAATTTGACCGTTTCAAGATCCCGAGGTTCCCATTTGGCACGGTATCTGCGGGTTAGGAATGGAACACTGATTACCCTGTGCATATATGGGTCTCGAGACCCTCGACGACGCATTTCAGAGCAGCGCTTCCAAGGTGACCACAAGCATTCTTCAATAAGCTGCCTCCGACCACTATCTTTGCCCAGGCACAGAGATATCTTGATTCAGGTGAAAGTTTGCCTAGAATAGGACGTTGGTTTGAGATCTTTCTTGCTCTGGAGGTCAACGCCCACCTTCAAACACGAGGCGTTCAGCTTCTGTCCAGGAAGGAGTCAAGGCACGGACTGAACGTGGCGGAGGATTGCTATAGGCTGACCGTTATCTGTTCATCATTGATGGACTTGAAACTGTTTCTTTGAGGCTGTCTGTTGCGTTGCAAACAGGTTGCACATACGGAGTAGCCTTATGGATATCAGCCTATGTTACTATGGCACTGAAGCTTGCGTGGTAGGGGTGGAAGCTTGGTGGCCACGCCGCCTCACACGAGGCGTCTCTGCGATGGTCTTGTCTCGCCTCCCTGCCTCCGTGAAGAATGGCATTGTAAGTGGCGAAGAGAATCAGCGACGCTAATCAGCCACTCGAAGCCACATTTTCATCATGTTGGACGAATCCAACGCCATGTAATCAGATAGGGGGTGCAGCTCCAGCAACCGCGTTGTCAGAGACGACAATCCTCGAACAAGGACAAATCACGGGTGTCGAGATTTTTTTGCTATCGGAACGACAAATATCTAGCGAAAGATACGCATGCCTGAATACACCCAACCTGCGAAATTCTTTACATAAACATGGAGAGAAGATGAACCTTCCACTTCCCGCAGCCCATGAGGTTTCAAGCACCACCCTTGTCTGGATGCCCCATCCGGTCTCGAGATCGGGGTTCTGGGCCAAGCATGAAATTCCTTTTTCTCTTCGGCAGTCCTTCACTTTAACACTATTAGTTGCTTGAATCCGAGATTCTCGCGAGACGCACGAAAGCCTATGCAAAACCCTGTCGGTGACACATGCTCAGTGTTATAGCAACACTTGACAGGACAGGGTACCACGATCTACAAGTATCTATCGGGTGTTCCTTTCGTGTAAATGACACTTAATAATTTGGCTCTACTCAGAACCCACAACTCGTTTGGATGATCTCTTTGTTCATGAAGATAATATCGATCTCGACGAACGGAGTTGCGGCAATACGCGGGTCAGCAAGTGGCATATAACAAATTAAGTCAGAAACTAAGGCTATTGGCTGATAGTTACGGGGACAGTGTGACAATAATACAAAGTAAGGTAATTTGGGTGACCTGAAAATTTATTGGACGATCAGCAACAGCCATATGAGATACACCACAAAAACATGGATCTTGAGTCAATATCCTTCCTTGTCTCCTTTGCTTGGCAGATCCAATTGCGACATTCTTTAGCTTCCCGATCTGGTCCGCGATAAGACCAGCATCAACCTGTAACGGCACTTGATTTTTTAATATGCGAAGCCAGTAGCTTGCCTCTGAAGCCCTCATCGCCTGTGGGATGCCCGCACAATTTTGTTGATGCCGGCTCCTTAACTTAGTAGGCTGACCTGTTTTTACTGGGGGTTTGGAAGCCAATTTTGCTATTAGGGGCATTCGTGTGGATTTGCAGAGTCATGAACTACGAAAGAAAACGCGAATATATCAAACAACCCGCTCCGCGTCCTCAATTGGGCCGTCGACAGCTCACGGCAGCCACTGGGAGAAACATTGTCTAGGGAAGTCACTTAGTATTAGAACGCTGAAATTTTGGTATATGCAGGCTTAATGCTATTCAAGGTACTATGTACAGGAATGCAGAAGTGAGGTCGAGTTCCAAAAGACAGAAACTCGTGCCTCTAGAACCGTGCACCGGGCATGACACAGTAAGCCTGGATTGCACATCTGGTGTCTATGATAAAAAAGAACTCCAACTTGAGACTCGTGAGACCATCATGATTGAAAGGACCATCTATGACCGCTTAGTCTTACAACTCTATCCCCTCCTCTCCATGGCTCGTTGCGCAACACTAGTTTAGTGAGCAGAGCGGCGGGCCTTGCGGGAGCGGCGGCGCTTGCAGCCGGCGCTGGGGGCCTTGGTAGGAGTAGCGACGGGAGCAGCAGCGGAGCTGGAGCTGGCAACGGGGGCAGCAGAGCTGACAGCGGTGGAGAGAGTGGTAGGCTTGGCAGCAGCGGCGGAGGTGGCGATGGGAGCAGCAGTGGTGGTGGCAGCAGCGGAAGTGGCAGCGGCGGCGGCGGTGGAAGAAGCAGCGGGAGCGGCAGAGGAGGCGGGGGAAGAGCCAGAGCCGGAGCCGGAGCCGCCGGTCCAGACCTCAGGGCCGGGAGCCTTGTAGGTGGAGGCATCGGCGCTGTAGAGGTTGAAGTGGATGCCGGCGTCGGTGTACTTGTAGCCGGTGGTGAAGTCGAAGTTCTGGGGAGGAACATCGGAGCCGGTACCAGTGATCTCGAACTGAGCGCAGGCGGGGTAGAACTGAGCACCGCGGGCAGGGTTGACATCGTAGGTGGTGTCGGACTCGTGGTGGGCAATGATCTCCTGGCGGACGAGGTACTTGCCAGCCTTCAGGGTAGAAGGAATGGTGACCGAGGGAGACATACCCTTGTTGGCAACAAGAGTCTCAACAGCCCACTTGCCACCCTCGTAGGTAGACTCCTGGATCTTGGTCCAGATGGCCTCGGCACCGCTGCCCTCGGTGTAGGGGGCGATCCAGGTGCTGATGGGACCCTTGTGGGAGAGGTCGATGATGTCGTCACCACGGCTGTTGTGGTACCACTCGAACTTGAACTCGTCACCGGCAGCGGCCTTGACGAAGCCAGTCTGGGCCTTGGCACCGTTGACGTTGCAGACAATGGCGTCGCTCGTGATGTCCTTGACGGGGTTGTTGTTATCGGGGGAACGGATGTACTTGGTGGTACCAGTGCCGGTGGAACGGCCATCGCCCTGGTCGGCACCGTTGACCCAGACGTCAATGGTGAGGGTGTGGGCGGCAGAGTAGCCGACGAGGGTGGCAAGAGCCGCGGCGGTGAATGAGAACTGCATCTTGATGGTGATGGGGGGAGTTTTCGGTTGAAAAGTGGTTGGATTTGAAGTGAAAGTGTTACTGAGGTTGTGCTTAGTGAGCGTGGGCGAACGTCTAGTTCGTAAATGAGTGTATGGCACAGCCAACAAGAGAGAGACTTGAGTACAGGGAAAGAATGACACCGATGTGATGATGAAGGAGGAGGAGAGCAATAAGATGGTGTCCTGAAGTAGGACGAGGGACTTTTATAAGACGTGTCTATGCTGCTACGGTTGTATGTAATTAGGGCCCCATCCACAACATCTCCCGAGCCGTAGGGTAGACCAGTAGCCCGTCTTTCCTGCTTCAATCTCGAATCATCTATGCCCATCTCCGACCCAGGCCCATCTAACCGCACTAAGTCAAGGTAGGCAGCCAATCTAGGACTGCATCTCGCCCCCCTCATCGCGCGGCTAGAGCTGGCGATTCCGTCAGTTGCCCAGCAAGACAGCCTGCCAGGGCCCCTGACCACTCCAAGTGGTCTTACACAGTAGTCCGCAATACAAAGTGTTGATGTGGACTCGTGGAGGGCAGGGGTTTGCCCTGGCAGTGCGTATACTTCGATGGAGTCTTTCGTCTCATCCTCCTCTCCTGCCAAGAGCTGCAGGAACGCTGCAAGACGTAGAGAATGAGATGAGGCTAACGGGTCCGTGGGGTGCTCTGCCCGTGGATAACGTGTTGGATCCCGCCAGGCCCTGTCAAGCCCTGCTATTCGGCCGCAACCGAGGATGGATTCATTAATGAAGCCGTTGCGATTAAAGTGAGGATGGGGTCGTGAAACATGCAAACAGGATGGTAGTGGATCGTGACGAGGCCCCTTGCAGCGGCGCGGCTAACCCAAACAACCTTCTTGGGCCTTGATTCCCGGGGTTGGAGCGACTGGAAGACCCGGTCGAGTGGCCACACCCCCTCAAGGTCTCCGACAGGGGCACCCTCGAAGGGCCATCATTCCCAAGCTGGTCAAGCACTCGCTTGAGAAACATGGTCGAAGAAATGGAGACTTTCTTGTTGGTGGCTCACTGCCTACTGGTGGACTTTGGAGCCACTTGACGGCTTGCCAACTTTGTAATCAGGCTCTTGGGGAGCGGTGGGGAGGTGGCATTAATCAAGTAGAATACAGAAGGAAGCAGATAATCGCCCAGTTTCAGGTCGTTGATGCACGACGCGGCGCTAGCATCGGTCATCACAAGTTGGCCATAACCCTCAGAGCCTCAGAGTGCTACTTCGAATAGCATCGGACCAGTCTTGAGAGGCTAGATCTGGAATTTGACCTGCTTGCCAGATGCCTCCAGTATGGAATCAACAGGGCTGATGAGAATTGGGTACGGAGGGAGTATTGGCGGAATCATTCGCAAAGGCAGCTCGCCCACGACGATAAGGGGTACCCAGAGCGCGACGTCCAAGAGAGATAGGTACATAAGAGTGTGACGGATGAAGCAAAAATAAAGACCTGGGGAATGGGTGGGGAGAGTGACACAGACAAGAGAAAGGGATCATTGGGAGATCGAGAGAACAGGAGAGAGCAAGAGAAAAAGCAGCGGAGATTATGGCGTGAAAAATGTGTCGGAGCCGGACCCGGACATGCACGTCAATCAATTTAGGGATCAGTTCTGGGAGCCTTTGTTGAACCGAGCTGAGAAGCCAACCTGATCTGAGACGAACCGTGAGGCCGGTCTCTTGGTAAGTTGGTCCCACCACCAACTTCCGAGCCATAAGGTATGAGCTTCAGCCACTTGACTCAGGGATTGCGTGAATTGTGTTGTGTCTGTGGATGAGGGATGGGAAGTGGAGGTTGAACAATACTGTGACGATGATGGCATGTGTCGTTCAACGATCGTATGTTGCATGATCTTCACGCTGCTGGCCACAGAACATCATTGCGACTCTGAGGTGTCTGCATTGTGCTGGGGTCCAGTCAAGAGGGCTGGCCGTCGGATAGTCTAGCCGCTACGGCGAGCTAAGCGGCGAGAGCCACACTCGCCTGTTTCCCTTTTCGGGTTCCTGGTGCCAGCGGCCGTCGAAGAATCAAACATACGGGCCAACATACTTCGTACAAGAAAGATTCGTCGAAGTGATGGAAGGAAACTGTGGGGGGCGGGTTTGCTACTCGACTGAACAGCAAACTCGATAAAAAGGGGCCAATTCCTCCCAGGCTGGTATGAAGAGATCAGTTACCAGTTAGGCATGTGGCGGTGGAGATTGAGTGGAAGAAAACCATGCTGGGCTCGGGAGACGGGCCAACTTGGGGGGCATGGCAAACTCATTTCGCAAGAACCTGGCAGATCCGCCCGATGTTGGTGGTGATGCCTGCTAGCAGGACTGCGGCGGTGCAGGTTTATTGAGTGGCCTGCGGTAGGCATCAGAGTGTTTGCGTCCCGTCTGCAATTTTCTCCCGTCCACCGCTCAATTCTCTGCGGTGTGAGTTAATAGGGGGCGGCCGAGGTGAGTAAGGTACGAGTTGTGATTGTGGGAACTTTGGAAGCTCGGAAAGATTCCAGGCCCCGGTTCTGCTGAATAAGGAAAACATCATCCGCGGGATCCGTGGACGGGGAGTTGCGGCAGTCCTTTAAACGCGACGCACTCGTACCCGTACCAAGACTTTCGTATGCCTTTCGGGTTCGAAGTGAGGTGGAAGTGTAAGGTATTAATAAGTTGCCAAAACTCTTCAGTCAGCCAAAAACGTAGTGTCACTGTGTCAGTCAAGCTTCGTGCCAGACTAAGACACGGGACCTGACAGCGCTTCTGAACCGGGCTTGTGTTAGATTGGCGATTGGTGTGGCTCTCAAAAGCAACGGTGTGTCTCTCTTACAGTTGCCCTCCACATGACGGTTCTTGGCAGCGACAAATAAACAAGGTGTATCTTTCGTGCCGGTGGATGCCGGTGGGAGGTGGAACTTGGGAGTGGACGTATGGGCAGCGCGGTGGTGTCCAACCAGGAGAGAAAAAAAAAAAAAAAAAAAAAAAAAATTTGCACCTCTGTCCCTATTCCGTGTGTCTGTTTACAAAATGGCGTAATAAGAGGGGAAAAGAGAGATAGGAGGATGGGTGCAGGTGGATTATTTACAAAGAAGCATCACGGACACATACTATTGTCGACGTGGAAAAAGAGGGACGAATGTGGTCAAAATAAACACCATGCACAAGAGCACCACTTGTTATCCAGAAAAGCGGTTTACGGATACCTTAACGATAGAGTTATAGAAAACCTTGAACTCTATTGAGGAAAGACCTCTGTTTGTCGGCAAAATCGGCCAGGCACGGCAGGCGTTGCCGGATTCCCACCCTTTAACGCAGTATTTATTGACGGCAAAAACGAGCCGGTGCGTGGACACTGGGCAGTCAATCATAGAAGCGGATCTTAAGGTTCTCTCGCTGCTGGGCATTGCCCTGTGCTCGCTTCAAATCGCATTCTGCTGCTCGTTGCACTTAGGCCTTTTTTCCATCTCTTTTTCTTGGCAGCCGGGGGGATGATTTACTTCTTCTTGCCTTAGTCAGCGAATGGGCGATTGAGGAAAGGTCATTACTGATGCCTTAGAATAGAGCCCTATATCGCCAGGCATCAAGCAGCTCTTATCTTATCGCAACGAGAACCTTCTCCAATCGTAACGTCACCGACGCAAATGTTCGTCGCGTACCGCCAACACCAACTCCCAGCGCATCGCACCTTCAATCCTTCCACCAATTGACCGAAAATAACCGAAAATCAGACCCCGAAACTCCTGCGAAATTCGAACGAATCCCTTCTATCGAAATGTCGGAACCTCAGAAGCCTGCGACGGCCGCACCCGAAAAGGTCGACGAGACCTACACCGAGAGCAAGGCCAAATTTGAAGGGTAGGCCGGCCTGCGCGTCACGTTCAACTTCGTGACAATCGCTCAAATATATTGCACAGGAAGGCGAAGAGCGAGTACTTTGATCCTTGTCAAGAGCTTGCGCAGAAGAGCATCAAATGCCTGCACCGGAATGGGGGAGACAGGGCCATGTGCGGAGATTACTTTCAGTAAGTGGGAGTTGCTACCCTTTCTCTGTTGTTCAATGCTCTTGGCCGCCTTCTGAGCTGCGCGGGAATACTGGACTGACTTGATATCCCAGAGCATACCGAGATTGCAAGAAGGCTTGGGTACGCTACCTTCCCCCCTGACTCCGTTGGCGCAGCCAGCCGTACCCTCAGACACTAATTCCATAGCAGTTTGACAAGCTCAAGGCAGACCGAAAGGCGCAGGGTGCTTGGTGGTGATGTGAATGGGTGTATATGACGTTCGCCAATGCCGATATGATACCGAGACGATCCGAACCGAATCTAGTCGACAAACTTCTTGCGGGCGCAAGAAGATATGACATTGTATATTTTGTAAAACAACATGCATGCATGGAAAGGAGTATTCATGTGTATGGGTAATTCGGTCATGTTTCAAGATAGATACCAGCTCTTCTCTTTGTGTCTCGATGGCTGCTCTTGGACCAAATCTGCCATGTGTCTGCAGGCTAAGGTATCCAAGTCCAGGTAGTGTGCCCTGTAGGGACTTACTCATTGCATGTTCGACAATGTGTGGTTGAGATGCCTCGGTTGATGGTAGATTATTTGTCCCATCCAGCAGCCGAAAAGTCTCTCTATAATCCATGGCCAGCCCCGATCAGGGTGTAAGGCCCAACCGCCAATGTAGGCCGGATCGGCGTCGGGCTATCGGGAGGAACGCGGCCGGCCAACGGCGCCGGAATCCCAAACGTGGGGGAGGACCGGCATTTCGGGAAGAGTATTTACCCGAGCAACCAATCAAGCGACACAATGCCCATCCTTAAACGTCTCACAAGCTCACTCTTACAGCACAGTGCCCCTCCAAAGCTAATTCTGCCCCGCCATCCGATCAGAAGCATCACCATGTCCTGGAACCGGCCTCAGCTGAGGAGCGGCACTGATCTGCAGCTGCAGTCGGCTTTCAATGACGGACAATGGGCCAACGCCATCCGTCTCGCTGAGCAGCGATTCCGGACCTTCAAGGATCCTTATTTTGAGGTTTGCTCTCACCTCACCGCCAAATGTGAATCCAGAAATAGAACTAACCACATCATTCAGGCTGTGAAAATATGCGCAGAAAGTCAGTTGGACTCACCGTTGGAGAAGGCGTCACCCTTCATTGCTATCCGCAAGCTGGTTCAGGATCCGACCGCCGTGAGAGATCCTGACACTTTGGAGTTGCTTGAGTGGGCTTCAGAGGAGTTTATTGAGGACCGAGACTTTTCCGAGACCTTCGGCCCCCTGAAGCTGCGCTACGTCAAAGCCAAGCCCAAGGACAAAAATGGTGGTACGAGATGCTTGGAATCATGTCTGCTACACTGGGATTTGATTAGCGCACAGCAAGTGGGTTCATCTCTGTGCTGAGCCTATGAAGGATTGAAGGTGCTGATGCGGGCAAACAGATTGCAGCAGTGCTCGACAAGTCATTCCCTCAAGAAAGGAGCTTCCTTTTCTGGAACATCGCCATTACGCATCTGCTAGCAGTAAGTTCTTGATACTATCTAAAGGCCAAGAAGCACGCTAATCCTATGTGAGACCAATGAGCAATGTCCAGCTGGAAAGAAGCAGCTCTATGGCATGCTCGCTCTGAAGCAAATGCAGCGTGCCGCGCAATTTGCAGAACAGGTAAGATTGGTGGCAGTGATTAATGATGGCGGCTAACCTAGCTGGTAGAGCGGTGCCGAGAAGAACGGCGAAGTCTCCGACCGAGCCATTAAGACGGAAGAAGAGATCCTTCTCTTTTACCGCATCCTCGAGGCTCATGGTTCTACGGCTGAATGGGAGGCGGCTCTGAAGGGCCCGACCCTTAACCCTGTCTACCAATTCAGGAAAGGTCGCAAAGACTTGTTTCTGCAAGCGATAGAAGTCCTCGAGCGGAAGGGACAGTGGAAAACTGTCTACGACCTATGCAAGGACTGCCTGTCAACGACAGACGAAAACCAGAAATTGAGCCTCCTCGCCTGTGACTATGCGGTGTGGAAGAAATTCCTCAATGCCGCTGGCCAGATAGGACAGATCCAAGAGTAAGTTGGACACCTTTGATTGATGACAACTTTGGCTGATGTTAGCAGGGCTTCCACCGAGGTTTTCGAACTCATTAACCGCTTCCTGACTCAAGAGGGTGTACGATCCATCTATAAGCGCAACGTCCGTCTGGCCAAGGTTGAAGCAGCGTTTCTCTTCCCCAAGAGCATGCAGCCAAGCTCGGATGCCACATCGAATGAATTTGAGGAATTGCGCCAATACATTGAGGTTGAGTGCGAATCACCCGCCTGTTTCGACGACGTCAGGGGCTTTGTCGAGCGGTTACCGCCGCAGGAGATCAAAGCACTGGCATACGATTTCCTCATTGGATTGTCAGAAGAGTCTCAGGACGCCGCGAGATCAGCATCTGTGAAGGCGTTTGCGTACAAGCTGCAGTACCTCGGACTATCTTCACCCAAGACCCTCGTTCGTGTCCCGAATGAGGATGTAAAGAAACCAAATGATTGGAAGTGTATAACCTGCCACACCACCAACAAGTCATCTACCTGCACCACCTGCGTCAAGAAACTCCTGGAGTCGACCTTGACTTTGTACTCCTCTCTACTCAACTCTACTGAAATAGGCCACCTCGATTGTGTCCCGGAACTTGCTATCCTCGCAGCATCATGCTGTGTGAGGCTGAGCGGCGCCCACGAGCGTGGAATCGACAACCCTACCTCTCTTTCGAAGAACGGTAGACCTGACCGCTTGCTTCAAGCTGCCCTCATCATCGAAGACCAGCTCACCAGAACACCAAAGCACACCCGACTCACGTTGGTCCTGGTGCGCATCTATCTTGTGCTTGGCTGTGCTTCTCGTGCTCGCGAAGTGTGGGATACCGCAGACGTGAAGCGTACCATAATCGATTCGCTTGGCCCCTACTTCTTTGACCGTCTATCAACCATTGCGCCCACTTTGGTTCTACCGCCAAACAGACCTGAAAGAGGGCTGATGCAGGGACTGAAATCCCACTACCGGGCATCTCTCAAGCTGAGAATGCCTAGAAGGCTGGCTGATGCTTTCGAGGCCGAGAGCTACACTGCCATTCTCGATATCCCTAGCTACACCGAGCGGCTGAGGTCAAGCTGCACTCTGGTGATGGGATATGTGGAGGAGTCCCAAGCTGCTCGAGCGCTGGATATCCGCAGCGACTCGATCTTTGAAGAGCCGGCGATTGGTAAGTCATTACTAGACTAATTTGGTTCCCTACGTCATTTCCTCGTGCTGACTATTATTCGTAGAGGAAGTCACCGACAACTCTGTGCTGAACGAAGTCATCGACTATGGATCTGTGCCTAACCTCGAAGCTGCCTCGAGCCGCCCGATATACGACGTCCTGCGGCTAGGTCCTGATCCATCGGTATGTCCCCTCCCATTGTACTAGGTACCATTTCTAACGTCTCAACCAGAACCTGCGTTCCCACTTGGCCCTCGCCGCAGAAAGGTTCTTCGAGGTCATGACCTTCAAGCCCGCATCGTCTTACAAAGTGGCCAACGTTGCGCAGACGGCCGCGGCAGAGCTGACCTTCGTCCTGGAATCACTTCAGAGGCTGGGCAATACCTTCAGCAGATTCCTCCACGCTCGCGAAAAGAATCTCACTCAACAGGAGGAAACCTTCTACGAAGTCATTTCACTTCTGACCACCCTGATCCCCCTCTCCGTCTCCGCCAGTCGCAGCCCACCACCTCCCGAGCTTCTGGCAAGCATTGTGTCCGCGATCAAGTCTGGCCTCGAGGTCCTTCGCGCGCAAGCACTATCGACGCCAGCTGATGCAGAAGAGTCTAAGACGCTAATGATGCTGGGCTCACTCCACGGTCTGTCGATTCTTCGCGACGCTGCCGCCGCCGTGAAGCTGGCGACGTCTTACATAGTGACTTTCAATGACCGTGAGAAGGAGAGGGACCGCTCCGGGCAGAGTAACGTGCCCAAGGACGTGGTGGCGCGAGTCAAGGCTCTCGAGGCCGCGGCTAGCACTGCCTTCACGGAAGGCAAGGCACGGGTGGCTCTCCTAAAGCAGGAAAGCAACACGCTGAATGCGAAACTGAGCTCTTGGACGTTTGAGACAGATTCTGGGGACGACTTGTCGAAACAGATACGCGAGGTGGCAGGTTCTCACGTTGGTGTTTGGTCACAGCGGGTGACCGACAGCTGGCGAACGAACGTGAAGGGTTGGGAATCGGTGCGATGGGAGTAGACGCCTCATTTCATTCATGATGTAGCCCATACCAACTCATTGTTTTTGTTTCAAGTTACCTAGAGTAGGAGGCTATCAATCATAAGCTCGGGAGCCCAAAAATAGAAAACCGTCATGTCGCACATCAAATGATTATTACGCCGAGTATGCCCTTTTTCGTAGCGCCTGCCATCCCAAAACTCCACGCAATGCTAAAGGGGCCACGCAAGCGGCCCGAGCCTTCCGGTAGGGCGGAAGCATATTCGTCTGATCGCTCCTGTGGTTGGGTGAATGCGACGCCTTCAGAACCTCCATCGAACGGCTTAGTGCACTTGACAAGCCTGTTGCTCAGTTGTACCCCGACTGACTTCCTCTCCTCTTGTGTTGGTTCTTACGCTGGAACTCTTCCTGCTCCTCGCGCAGGGTCATCCAGACCCAGAACCAGCACAGCATCTCGAGGAAGGCAAAGGTTAAGAAAACACGGTTCTTGAGGCCGTCGCCGCCCCAAGTCGAAGGTGTATAGCGCGGATTGTTCGACTGGACGGAGGGATGGGCGAAGCGACTGCCGCCTTTCGAGGTTCCGCCATAAAGGGGGGATGAAGGGCCGAAGAGGAAGGTGTAGAGGACAAAACCGAAGGACATGACCATACGAGTCGGTGCTATAATTGGGTTGTGAGAAATTGCTTCGAACTACCAGCATAAGAAGAAGGAGCATGTTGCTTACCCTGTGTTCCCCAGTGGTAGACCAACCAGACTTCTTCGGGCATGCTGAGGGTAACGAGGTCGCTGATGCCTAGTATTCCCAGCACAGCAGCGAGGAAAGCGAGGGCGGGAGACCTGTTTTCGAAGCTTCGCGCATGGGGCTAAAGAGGAGATGTTAGCGCTCGACCTTGTTACGAATGGACCATGAAGTGAAGCTTTGGAGACTTGCCATGCCCATCGACTCGCCCAGCACGTACACCATCGCCTGGTCTGCGATGGTCGCCGGGTTCGTCAGAAAGAAGTATGCGAGGGTGACATGGAAGAGGGAGAGGGAGGTAATGATTGTTTTCGCTGATATGATCGCCATGGTTACGGTTCCTTGCGATGCGCTGTATTCATCAAGGTGAGGAACTGAAGCAAGCTCGTTGAGATAGAGAGGGGGGCGGAGGACAATTGACGTCGCAGTCGTAGGCGCAGTCGCGTCGGACAAGAAAAGAAATGGACCACCAGTCCAGCGCATGTCTTATCGGGAAGCAAACGAAGCGAAGTACCTTAAGTGTAGGTAATCCTGTAGCTGCGAGGCTTATCGATCTGGAGCTTCTCATTCGTCCCATCTATCAAGACAAGGCGACGCTTCAGCGCCGTTCAGCGGTCTTCTAGTGGACCTCCTCCCTGCTAGCGCTGTCGTTCTTTCCAGCAGCTCGCTGAGCTAAACCTGCTTAAGCTGAAGGTGCAGCTTTGGTGGGGGGTGGGGTCCGTTCCTGATTGTGTCCTATGCCGGCCTGGGGGGTGAGGTGGGATGAAAGGTCCTGCAAACCATCGGGGGATTTTGTTCACTTGACCAAACATCCCGGAGCTAGGTAACAAACCCCACCAACACTATCTTCCCACCCGACTGCGATCCTTGAATCCATCAAGGCCAAGATGGCAGCCGACGCAGCCATGCCGCTCGAGAAAGCGAGGCACATCAAATACTGGCAACGCTGCCACAAGACCTTCCTCCCGCACCAGTATACGTCGTCCGACAGCACCCGCATAGCTCTCAGCTTCTTCATCCTCGCCGCCCTCGACATACTCTCCCCTTCCGAGCCGACCAAGGATGCCCCCCATCTCCTCACACCCGCCGACCGAGCTGCCGCGCGCAAGTTTGTCCTAGGTCTCTACCATCCCGGCGGCGGCTTCTGCGGCTCCCCGAACCATGCTCTGCCGAGCGACTTATACGCCGGCTGGGACTTTGATAAGGGAACGCCTAAAACGAGGAATGCGAGCTCGGCGAATCTGGCCTCGACATACTTTGCGCTGTTGATCTTGGCCATTGTCGCGGACGGGCCAGAGGAAGCCAAGAGCGCCTTTGCGGGCGTGGATCGCGTTGCGACGTTGCGGTGGTTGAGGCGGCTGCAGAGGACCGATGGCAGCTTTGGCGAGCTTGTGCTGGACGACGGGGCCATTGCAGGCGGGAGGGACATGCGGCTATGCTTTCTGGCCGCCACGATACGGTGGGCTCTACGGGGCGATGCCAAGGAGGGAGACAAGGACTGGGTGGAGGACATTGACGTTGATGGCCTCGTTCGGCACATCCGCCAAGGACAGACCTATGACGGTGGACTCGCTGAGAGCTCTCATGCAAACGAGTCTCATGGTATGCTCTTGCTACAATGGTGATGATGCTGAATACTTGAAGGCTGATATGAGGTTTGAAGCTGGCTATGCATGGTGCGCCGTCAGCGCGCTGGTCCTCCTCGATCGACCCCCAGACCAGAGTGGAACTCCACACGACAGCCGGATACTCCAGAAAGGCGTCCCTGATACGTCCCTGTTGGTCAAGTTCCTGGTGTACCGCCAGTTCGAATACCTCGAGAAGGAAGACGACTCGGACGATCCTGACCATGCCAACTTTGCGCTGCCCGCGTCGTTGAGCGAGCTGACATTGGATCCAAACCTGCGCTTCGTTGGGTTCAATGGAAGGTGTAACAAGGTCGCGGACACATGCTATTGCTGGTGGGTAGGAGGGACACTACAGGTACAAGGAATATAGATTGTCGACTGCTTAGGGCCACGGTTTACTGACGTTTTCAGATGCTTGGTCACACCGATCTCATTGACGCCGAGCCGTCACGACGCTTCATCACCAAAAAAACACAACATCTCATCGGTGGGTTCTCCAAGTATCCTGGAGGCCCGCCAGACATTTACCACGGATTCCTTGGCCTGGCTGCGCTTGCCATCATGGGAGACGCAGACCTGAAGCCATTCGATGCGTCCGTATGCGCAACAGACGCGACTGTGCGTAATATCATATTTGCGAGGAACGGGCTTATCGAGGCCACCAAGAAGACCCAAACTTGATAGAGGCTATATCCCGGCGTCATGTTATTAACTTGCGCGCATTCGCTGACGGGAGGCTGGGAACTAACGCAAAGCACAATGACAAAGTAACAGCGAGGTTTGATAATCATTTTTAGAGAAATACATCAAGCGTTGACTCGAAGTTTTATCTTCACTGCAAAGAAATATCAACACCCTTTGTTTGGTACAAGGTATCCTCTAAGTATAGTACAAGTCGCCAAAAGGGGAATATACAGAAAAGAAAAGAAACACTATGAAAGCTTTTGCCTGGACTCGTTCCTTGGAGCGTGTTTGATCATGCTCACAGTAAACATTGTATATGGGGGGGAAAAAGTGGCCATCATCCTCCTTCATGGACGGCAGAAAGGGTAGTTGGGGTTGATCATGTCGGGACAGGGGCGGCTGATGCTTTTGGCGTTACCGGAGGAGCATCTTCCTCCTCATTCGCCTGCTCTGCTAGTGCCTCTGTCTCGCTGTCTTCAATAATTTGCTCCTCGATGCGCTCTCCGGGCCCCCCAACAACGGGGCTGAAAGCGTCAACCTCTTCGATTTCTTCTTCCGCTTCTTCGCCCTCTTCCTCTTCCTGGATGGGAGCTTCGCCCGACCGTCGTCCGAGTCCAGAAGCACTTGCACTGCGTGAATGGTTGGAACTTGTGCTTCGTGAGCTGCCGCCCCCTCCTCCGCCACCGCCTGCGCTGCCACCTCCGCCAAAGGCCAGCATCGGACCCTTGAAGATGTTTCGCTTTCGCTTGGCAAATTGGATGCCCCCTCCCAGGGCAAAGGGATTAGGCGAGCCTGGAGCCTGCATTCCTGACGTTACCGGTGGGGGAGGCATGCCCTCATTGAATAGAGCAAGGGGGGCCGGGGGACCTGGCCCTCGAACTAGACGGATATTCGACGGAAAGGCGGTCGCGGTGGGAGTGGCTGGAAGAACTTTGACAGAGTGATGAGGCGACTGCCCGCGCTGGAGAGTGTTTTTGGACATGGAAGTCGAGACCGATCCATTTGAGCTTGTTGATGAAGCTTTGGAATGAGAATGATGATGGTGAGGCATCGAACGAATGGACGAGACCGATGAAGAGGTGGACTTGCGGCCCCTCAACCCTGCCGAGGAGCGCCGCATCGTAGTTCGTGGGGTCATGGGAGACGGCGACAGCGATTGTCGCTTGTAAGATGTTGTGATTCGGGACGGTACCCGCGAGGGGACAGAGCCTCCACCCGAGGCGGGACTGCTGAAGCCTCCAGATCCTGCGTGACTTGGCAGTGCCTTGTTGGCATGGCCATTAGCCACTACGCCACGAGGCAATCCGGCCTTTCCTTGAGGTACGCCGGCATCCGTTGTTGGGTACTTGCTCGTCTGCGGCCGAGGACTCGTGTCCTTAGAGTGTTTGCTGCTGCTGCCGGCGACACTGCCGTTTTTATCGACCAGGTTAGGCGTTGAGTGACTCCCTCTCTTGTTCGCGTGCCGTCCCCTACGGGTGTTCTCCAAAAACCAGTGTGTCCAGTTCTTCCAATGCGCAATGATGGCCTGTGAGGGCTTCTTGCGAACCTTTTGTTGTTGTTCAGGTGGTCGCTCTGGCGTCCCGTTAGCCGCCAAAGCTTCCGAAGTAGTCACTAGATGAAGGGTCGAACCCCGAGATCGCGCGCTGCGGATCACACCCTCCTTAGGGGGCGGAACCGGGCGACGATGTCTAGACGTACTGGCAGACCGGATCGAATCCTTATCGATTGGTGGAGGTGGTTCCTCTGTATCTGGACTTCCGTTTTCCTTGCTGTGCTCGGGCAGACCGGGCAAGTCCCCCAAGTCGGCGTAATGCGCGCTTCTTCTCTCTGACCGGCCTCTTGTCCGTGGCGTGATAGGCCCGTCCTCAAGTCTGATGAAGCGGTTTGTCAGTCCGCCGTCCTCATCGACCTCTTGCAACACAGGCGCAATCCGCTCGAGTCTGCTGGATGCGGCGGACAGACGACGCAAGCTCCTATTCTCGGCCTCTCTTTCCCGCCGTTTCCTCTCTCTTCTCTTGACTTTCCGCTGCTCCTTTTCAATCAGCAGCGTCCACCAGCCAGCCAAAGCGTCGCAGCGCTGCGCAAGCACGCTTTCGATGACGGAGTCAATGTCGACACCCGCTCCCCGCATGCGCTGAAGAGTCTCCTTCTCTAGATGCGTTGAGAAAGGCGGAGGCCTTTGCAGTTTTAGGATTGCTTGTTGTGCTGGGGAATGTTCGGCAAGAAAAGGGTTGGTGAGGATGTCGGGGAGGGAGGGTCGGAGTAGGGGTCGCTTAGAGAGCAACGACTTGAGTAACGGAATGGCGGCAGTTGGAAGATGATCGGGGAACTTCGGTTCTTCGCTGAGGATCTTTGTACGTGTAACGGTGTCATCGTCATCGTCGAACGGTAGCTCTCCGCATAGTAGGGCATATAGGATAACGCCAAGACTCCAGACATCGACCTTTTCTCCAGCGTACTTTTCGCCCTTCAGCATTTCGGGTGCCGAGTAGCATATTGTGCCGCAGAATGTCTGCAAGTAGTTCGATTTCCCCTCGTATTCTCTCGTGAAACCAAAATCAACAAGCTTGACGTTTTCGTGCTTGTCGAATAAAATGTTTTCCAGCTTGAGGTCGCGGTGGACACATGATTGTTGATGTACGTATGCGACAGCGCCAACGAGTTGGGCAAAAATCTTCTGGACTTTGTGGACGGGAAGGGGGCCATGTTCGAGGAGGTAGTTGTAAAGCTCGTCGCCTATCGAGTCTTTGTCAACCATCGTTTCTGCATCAGCAATAAAACGGTAAAGCCTACCAGCACAGTATTCCAAAACCAGCCACACCAGATTCTCCGTGACTATGACCTCATATAGCCTGGCAATATGTGGATGAACGAATTGTCGGTGGTGATGTATTTCGCGTGCGAGATTCGAGTCGCCTTTATTTGCGGATTTGAGGACGACCTATACCCCAGTTAATGAGTATCACCGGCCCAGGCTCGAGAGTATTGTCCCAGCACGCGTGTCAGCCGTTGCCTACCTTGGAGCCATTGGTGAGCTTGTGAGAGGCCAAGTAAACCTTGCCAAAGGAACCCTTTCCTATGAGACGACCGAGAGTGTAGTTGCCGACGGAGCTGAGGTCTTTGTTGGAGAACTCGCTGGAGGCAGCAGAGGTTAGCCTAGGATTCACACCGGAGCGGGCGGATAGCGGAACTCACTCGAGGAGCTCCTGGTACGAGCGAGCAAGCTGTCATAGTATTATTAGCCAAATAGCCGACTTGGTGGTCCATGACGCAAGGCGATTGAGAGGACTGCGAAGCAAGAAGATGGATGGCATGATGGATAGTGGTAGTTTTTGGGCGACGCACCTTGGCCTTGCGACCCAGGGCCTCAGCGTTTCCTCTGTTGACCTGCATCCCTTCGCAAGGCGATGACCAGGCACGTCAAAGCCGACCGAAGCGAAGCCGGGCAAAGTGGGCGGGCTCAGGCGAGACTCGACAGACTTATTGAATCGGGGTTTGGGTCCGGGGAGGCGTGAGGAGGCTTAGAATCGACTTTCGGGAGCCCACGGTGGCGCGCAAAGAGTGCAAGCTGCATCTAGAAGGGGCAAGATGGGCGGAACGAATCGAATGGGCCTGCGAGGGGTCGAATGCGCGTGGGAAAGCTCGGTGGAAGGGATTACGGGGGAGCAATTGAAGCTGTTGGTGAGCGCAAGCTGAGGTTGGCAGCTCCAGGATCGTGGAATGCAATGGCTGGGGAAGTTTGCTGGGTTCACGAACGGCCCCTGTCTGCAAAGGTAGTGTGCTAGTCGGTACTCATCAATCGGTTGCTGGATTGCTGCTAAGGAGCGTTAGGTATGGCGAGGCAAGGCGAGCGAGAGGTGAGGACGGGGAACGAAACAGACCAGGTACCTGGGGGAGGTACCCCCATTTCAGCGCTCCAATCCAACTGCGTCCCAGAGAGGCAAGGAGCAGCGGCCAAGTGGGTCTTCCAGCGGTGGACACACGACCAAAGGCACTTCACCTCGAGTACATATCAACCTTTATACATACCAAAGATACCTTGGTAGGCACCTCAAAACGAGGAAAGAGTTGCAACATTTACACAAGGTAGAATCCTGGTGGGGTGCAGACTGGAACTCCATATCCACTGAGTTTGCCCAAGATCGGCAGATCCGGGGAAAGAGCGGGCGGTCCTGTTCCCCCAGCGGCGTGGAATTCTGCAAAGGTAAGGAATATCTAGGTAGCAATGCCAACTGCCATTGAACTCCCCAGATAGGACAGTCCCGTCTACGCATAGGTACCAGTATCTCGTTCTCAGTTGGGCTTTGGTCATTGGTTCTCAGTGCCTCGGACCGCCTGGATTAACCATTAAAGACAGCTGTGCTCAACGTCATTAGGTACAAGGAGGATAGTATTTGGCCGTTTGCGAATAAGAGATGGTCACGTTGGCCACATCTTAAAACGTTTCGTTTCAGTCGGTTTGCACAGATTGCAACAAGAGCTTTGATACTACCGGTAGAGGCCTGGGTAGACTACCTAAATAGGTATATAAGATGGGCGGCTCATAGTTAGGCAGGTAAGGTAGGTACCTAAAACCAGGTACATTGTTTGCTGCCACTACTGATATTCTTCACCATTGTGCGCCTGACGAGGGGGGGAAGACCTCGTTACAGGGAGAAACAGCACCTTAGCTAGACGGCAGCAGTGAGTCAAGTGGAACACGAGCACTTCAATACCTATCCCAATTGTTTGTCAGCATCACGATCCCCAAGTCTACCTCGTTTGTCTGAGACGCTCGCTGAGACTTCACTGATGAGGCTCTCTCCCCCCACCGCCATCTTATTGGATCGAGGGACCAACCTGGAAAGCTTGGATCATCTCCCGCCCCTGCGGGAACATGGGGGTGGCTGACGGGGAAAAGTCCGTGCTCGTGGCTGGAGCCAATGACGGGAGCTTGGGATGGAATGACCTCATTCTCAGACCTCGCACCTCAGCCTGCACTCTGCAGATATCTGACTCTTATCACTCGTATCACTCACTTTATCGCACTTCCCGTCACCGTGATTGAGGCTTGAGCTCCCAGGCTTAAGGTACCTTACCTTACCAGGTCGATCTCCGCCCACTTCGTTCCGACACCGCTCCGTTTGCGGTTGCACCATAGCCAAGTCTCCGGGAAACTCTTGCGCCCGCCGCCGGCCATTGGTGATTTGTAGCGGCGAACAACCTCTCCAGTTGAGACCTACATCCTTTGATCGATGCTTGAGAGCCGTCAAAAACAACCAACCTTTCCATAGGCTTGAAGCTCCGCCACCACCATGCGTGTCTCTCAGCTCATGACCTTGAGCTCTGTGCTCTCCTTTGCCGCCGCCTCTCGCATCCAGCAGCCCATCGGCGTCGAATCTTCCCCGCCAACGCTTTACTCACCCTCATCCGCCGCTCCGTCCTGGCGCGACGACCTCATCTCTTTACATCGGTCCCTCATTGAGATCCCCTCCATCTCAGGCAATGAGAGCGCCGCCGGGAAGTTCTTGGTCGATTATCTGACCGGCCGCGGCTATGTCTCCTCTCTGCAATTCCTGCCACCGCGCAACAACAACACGGAAGAGACCCCGAGGTTCAATGTCCTGGCCTGGAAGACGAACCAACGCCAGCCCACACCTCGCGTTGTAGTCACTTCGCACTACGATGTTGTGCCGCCTCATATTCCCTACGGCATATCCGATGACAAAATCACTCCCGACACTCGTATTAGTGGAAGAGGAAGCGTTGACGCCAAGGCTAGTGTTGCAGCTCAGATCATTGCTCTCGAGGACCTGTTTGAGGCCGGCAAAGTCAACCCCGAAGATGCCATGCTCTTATTTGTCATTGGTGAGGAGGACACTGGCGATGGAATGCGTTTCTTTTCCGATTCCCTCCAGGCAGCCGACCCGCCGGTGCAATTTGAATCCGTCATCTTCGGAGAGCCTACGGAGAACAAGCTCGCTTGCGGTCACAAGGGCGGTGTCTTTTGCGATATCTCGGCCAAGGGCGTCGCCGGACACTCTGGCTACCCATGGCTCGGCAAGTCGGCCAACGAAATCATGATCAAGGCCCTTGCCAAGATTATCACGACAGATCTCGGAAGCACTGACAAGTGGGGCAACACCACCGTCAATGTCGGCCAGTTCAACGGCGGCGTTGCTCAGAATGTCATTCCTGCCTCTGCTCTGGCAAGGATCGCGGTTCGGGTTGCCATTGGCCCCGAAAAGGACGGCGGCAACATTGTCAAACAGAGAATCCAGAAGATTCTCGACGAAACCGATGCCGAGTCCCTTGAGTTGACCTGCACTCACGGATATGGCGTGGTGGAGGCCAACTGTGACGTTGATGGTGAGACCTATGCTCTTTAACCAAGCAGCCTATGCAGTCTGAATAATTACTGACGACTCTTCATCTAGGATTTGATACCCTTGTGGCCAACTATGGAACTGACATTCCTAACCTCAAGGGCTCGCACACTCGCTACCTCTATGGACCAGGCACGATTTTGGTTGCACATGGCCGTAACGAAAACATCACCGTTGCCGAGCTTGAGGAATCCGTGGGAGGTTACCAAAAGTTGATCCTGCATGCTCTCAAGGACTCTGCTTAGTATCATGCGACAATCTTGAAGCAGTGTCCTGCTAATACGCTATATCCCCTATAGACAAAATTCAATTTTGAACATACATCGGGCTCCAGCTCCAGCTCCAGCTCCGGTCTCTAACGCAAAACAAATATCATCATCATCTATGCTTGAAAGGAGAGATTCCCATCACTGGGCGACCACCTGCGCCCATCTCTCGGGCATGATGTGACGGAAATCAAATTGACCCTCAGCGTTCTTGACAACAGCACCTTTCTCCGTAACAACAGCATCGATCAGGTCGTGCGGAGTTACATCAAAAGCAGGGTTCCAGACGTTAATGCGCTGGTCCGCCGTCGCCACACGCGCTGTACGAGCGATGTCGACGTTGCCATCAGCCTGGACGATGGCACCGGAAATCTGCGTGAGCTCCTCCCCCTTGCGTTCCTCAATCTTGATGCCGGCGCCGGTCTGGGTCTCGAGGTCGATGCTGGTGGTGGGAGCCGCGACAATGAACTTGACGCCGTGATGCTTGGCCAAGACGGCGAGCTGGTAGGTTCCAATCTTGTTGGCAGTGTCACCGTTGCGAACGACACGGTCGGCACCTACAATGACAGCGGCAATGTTCATCTTGTCCTTTTGCAAGTTGAACAGCGCGGCAGCCATGGAGTCTGTGATGAGAGTGCTAGGGATCTTCTCGTAAACAAGCTCGAAGGCGGTCAGCCTGCTACCCTGGTTGTAGGGCCTTGTCTCGGTGCAGTAGGCGTGCTTCAGAAGGTTGTTGGACCAGAGTGTTCTGATGATACCGAGGGCGGTTCCATGACCGGATGTTGCCAGAGAGCCGGTGTTGCAGTGGGTGAGCACAGATACCTTGGCATCAGGTGAAGCACCAGCGACCTCTCTCAACCATTGCGCTCCATGGTCACCAATAGACAGGTTGGTCTGGAGGTCTTTTTGCAGAATCTTCTCGGCTTCCTCAATGTATGCAGCAATGACCGTTTTGGAATCATCCTGAGGCGCGCTCCTAATGCGGGCCTTCAGTTGATTGATAGCATTGGTCAAGTCGACAGCAGTCGGTCTGCTTTCCTTGAGGTAATCCAAACGCGAGTCGATGTAAGTGACGGTATCCTGCGATGAAGAGGCGGTGCAGCTGCCGTTGTGTAGCTCAACAGCGTGGGCGAGGGCGGCGACAATAGCAATGGCGGGGGCACCACGAACTCTCATCGACTTGATGCAGTCAAAGGCCTCCTCGCTGGTGGACACCTCATCGTAGTGGAATTCATGAGGCAGTCTCAGTTGGTCCAGGACTTCGAGACGACCCCGAGTGTATTTGACGGCTTGGAGTCCAGACATGGTGAAAACAGAGAAATGATGATAATGCTGTTGGAGGAAGGAATAAAGCCAAATTCCTTCAAGAAATATCGGGCACTCTATCGCTTCCTGATCCAAGGCAGAGGAGGGGCATTTCTCCCCAAAGCAAAACCAAAAAAGATTCTGCCGTGCCCCTCCATTGGCGTCCAGCAAGCAGCGTCATCTTGGGCCAATCATTCCAGCACTGGGTAGCACACCGCTCTCGGGGAATCATCGGAGGCAGAGCTACCTTTGTACCTACCTTACCTTATCGAGGTTCCTAGGTACCTTTAGGCCGGGGCCGACTAGGGGATTCCGCCGCCCAGCGTCTCCACCCAAGCTAGAATCTCACCGAGGCGAGTTGTACACCTTGCATTCGACCGGCACCCACCCGCCGCGCAATTTAGTAAATGAAGCTGCGACGGACCATGTAATTTAAAAGTCCAAATTGGAGGAGCCGTTCAACATGGAGCGGCCTTTTTCAACCTCCAAAGTCACAGGTAAGCTCTACGCGTCTCATGATCCCGTTGCTATCTCGTTGGCCTACTTATCGTACCTTGACTGCGCTTCCCCCCAACTGACCAAGCATGCTATTCGCAGTCGAGTACTTCGATCCCCACGACGTTTACAAGCTCGTCACCCCGGGCCTCATTCCACGACTCCCTCTTCGAAATCTCCACTGGCAGTCGCATGCTGGCCCTTTGCGCTCGATCGATACCCTCCACGTAGAGCTCACGCCCGCCGGCGGAGACCCAGCTGCCCCAATCTCGCCAACCATCTCCCCTTCGCTCCGCCGGTCAGTCAGCGCCGGCGCAAAGGACGATGGCTTTCAAACGCAGTCTATCGGAGGCAAAAGCACGTCTTCAGACATTTCCGATACCCCAACGATAGCGGCGCGACAGCCTGGCAAAGAACGGCGCCACCAAATACCGGGCCTGAGGCGGACCCCTTACCTCAAAGTCCTGCTCGTTCGATGCGACGACAGCGATACCTACAAGTCCCAAACAAGGGCAGAAATCAGAGAATGGATCAAGAAAAATACGCCGCCTTCGCAGTCTACCCGGAAGCTAAACACACAAGAGAACCATGATGCATTTGAATTCCTGATTATTCACGTCGTAATACCCAATACTTTTGCGGCAAATCAACCTAGGGTCAGCGGAAAGGGCCTCGATGCTGCCGAGAAAGCAAGATCGTCAAGATGGGGCTCCGGATCCTCCACGTTATTGGAGAAGCTTCGGTCCGACTTCAACAGCTCTAGCAAGGGCGCGATCGATCGTGTGGCCCAAATCCGTATCGGCATCAACGACGTTCCATACGACGTACTGCCTCGAGTTGTTCCTGCCACACCAACCGGTTATACCGAGTCGCGTCAGGATGCCGAAAACGCATGGGATGACCTCGTTGGCAAATTCAAGGAGCTGATTCTGTCATCCTTTGACATGAGGGTGTCCCAGTACGAGGAAGACATCAAGGAGAAGGATGCTCAGCGGGCTCTACCGGGTTGGAACTTCTGTACCTTCTTCATACTCAAGGAGGGTCTTGCGCGTGGGTTCGAGAGTGTCGGCCTTGTAGAGGATGCCTTGGTTGGCTATGACGAGCTCAGTGTCGGTCTTGACACAGTCATTCAAGAACAGGCCACCTCCGGAGATCCCCAGACACACGGGGGTTCTCTGTTGAGCCACACGGAAGACCTCGTGAAGCGAGCTGAAGCCGCCGTTGCCGCAATGGGTGCTGAGGATGGCTCTCTAGAGGATGACCAGCCTGTTGATCTACAGGCCACGGATACCTCCAAAACCGACAAGTTCGACGATATCCCTATTAGCGCCACAAAAAAGCCGTACCGTGAAATGATAGTAGCCAATAATGTGTCAGTCTTTGACTTTCGCTGCTACATCTTTGCGAGACAGATATCGCTGCTGCTCCGCCTTGGCAACGCCTGGTCAACTAGGGAAGATCTCCTGGCAAAGCTTAGGGAGCAACAGGAGTCTGTCCTTCACGGCGTTGCACCGCAAGCGCCGCCTCCAAAGCAGACAGATGAAGCCGAAAATCTGTCCATGTTGGCTGAGATCTGCCGAAGGACCCTAGAATTCGTGCCGGCTGTCTCGCAAGTTATGAGAGCCGACATCTTGGCTGCGCTGAAGAATAAGCTTACCGAGGAAGATTCCCCGATTCTCAACCCCATCCTGGCGGAGGCTATTGATAATCTTGTTGCATCATTCGCATTCTCCGTTGCGCAGCAGATCCTTGCTCAAACGTCGAGCAAAGCACTGCCCATCCCCCCATCGACTCTGACTCCCTCCGACGGCCATGAGCCCAAGTCATCAATTCCAGAATTGAAAACCATGCTACACCCAGCTCGAAACTCGTCTCTGCGTGTGGGAACGGGTTCCAACACAAGTACCAGACCACCGCCCAGTCCTGGAGTGTTTCCTGGAGGAACAGGCCCCAGCCCCGATGACAATACAGCACCCAACGCCCAATTTCTCAAAGCTGGCCTAGAGGAACTCGCTGCGCGTCGTGCAGAGCTCTACGCTCTGTCTAGGAACGTCCTCCAAGGCAGCGGAAAGAAACGAGGCTGGGATATTGGATGGACATCTGCGCCAGTACTTGGGGAAATGGACGGCAACGACTTTGAAGACGTTGACCTCGACGGGGATGATCACAAGTCCCAGGCAGACAACCCGGAGCCGCTCTGCATAGGGCTGGCTGGTATCGAGAACGGCCTTCTTCACACTGCCCTTGACAATCGGGACGACTTCTATCGTCTGTACGAAACACTCACGGACAAGGCCTTGCGTCATTACACCGTGGCCAATCACAATCATGCAGTCAAGACAAGCATGGCCGACCTCGCCGTACTCAAGTATCACCTTGGCGAGTATGGCCCGGCCGCTTCATACTTCTACATGACTACCCCATTTTTCGGGGAGAACAGCTGGAGTCTGTTGGAGCTGTCCATGCTTATCATGTACTCTCGATGTCTGAAAGAGCTTCAGCGCAAGGATGAATTTGTCCGTGTGGGACTGAAGCTCTTGACGAAGGCGGCAGCCGCAGAAAATGAGAGGCTTCAACAGAAGAAGCCCTCGCTTGGAGTTAACTCGGAGGTTCAGTACCCCGAGAAAAGTGCCATCGCTGGCTTTCTCGATGAGGTTTTGAGTGTAGCCAAGACCCTTTCCAACGAGGTCAGGGTGCCTCTGGGTCATCTTTTCACACAAGTTGAAGTTGTCGGGCATGCAGCCTACCACACCGGCAAAGACTGCTTCTCTCTCACCATTAAACTAAGAAGCTTGCTCATGGATGACCTGAGCTTGGAGAAGGCCGCCATACGCTTGTCCAGGACGTCATCCGGAGGAACAAAGGAGCTTTGGTTACACACTTCCGAAGCGAACATTCTCAAGCCAGGGATCAACGAGTTGCGGCTTACCAGCACTGTAAGTAGTATGCTGACAATATGAGAGAAATTGAACTAACAGATGCTAGACCAATGTCGCCGGTCACTACAGGATTGACCGGGCAGATTTGATTTGCAACAAAGTTGACTTACACTGGGAGCGGGATGTTAACCAAACACCCAGCAAGACGGCGCAGATCTTCCGTCTTCCCGACCTGGAACTTTATCGCCCTAGTGGCGGTTTGAGTTGTCGCTTAACAGCGGCAAGAGACATTCAACTGGACAAGAACAATTCACTTGACTTGGAACTCTTGACGGGATGGAACACTATCAAGTCCTGTGAGCTTTCGGTCAAGCCATCGACTGGCGGCCTTCGAATCATTTCAACCGAAGCAACGTTTCTTGGACCTGCACTAGATTACGAGAAGCCTTTGGAGGCCGGACTTTTCCGCTTCGGAGGCATCTCCGCGTCGTCCGCCATCAAAATGCGTTTCCCGTACACCATCGAGCAAGACGTTCCGAGCATATCGGCTAGAGTCGAAATAACGTACACTACAGATGAGGGCACTTTCACCTACTCTAATGTGTTTTCAGTCCCCGTGGCACTCGCCTTGGGCGTCAATGTACAGGATGTTTTCAAGCACAACGCCTTATTCTCCCGCTTCAGCGTCTCAACAGCCTCGTTGAGCCCGCTCAGAGTGTTCAAAACACACCTGATCGACTCAGATGTCTTTGCTGCCCACTCTGCAGCTCCACCAAACAAGTCCATTATGGTGTTTCCGAAGCAGCCTGCCAGTTTGCTTTACAAGATCACACGCAAAGCTTCAGGCAACACCACACCAAAGACCCAGCGGACCCTGTATCTCAAGCTCCATTACAGCGTTGTCTTGGATGAGATTATTGCCCTTGTTGAAGATTCTCTGTCAAAGTTCATTGAAGAATCTCCTCTTTCCTCGTTCTCAGGCCTTTTGATCAACCGAGTACTTGCAGAGGTGCGGTCTAGCCTTTCGGCTTATGACTTGGAGCGAGCTGCTCTCCTCGGCGAAGTTCCTACGGCCTTCGTATCGCCTTTGCTAACAGGGAAGATCTTCAGAGGTCTGGGCACAGTTCCAGGCGGCAAAGAAGACGCCTCTAAAGCTCTTCGAGCATTCCTTCTTTCCTGGCAGTCAACGTATTCAAAGTTGACCATCAAAGGAGTCGAGTCGATCAGTCGATCAATCCTCATCCCTGTCGATGTCCCCTCCATTCCCGTTTTCCACTCGGTCGACATTCAGCTTCCACCACCCGACGAACAAATAGCGGGTTCGACCCTAGCCGTCAACCAGTTGCTGTCTGCTAATTTACGGTTGCGCTGGACTCGCACCTGGGACACGGCTGTCAGTGATGGCAAAGGCATCAATAGGGACTACGAGTTCAGCTTTGATGTGACTGGTCCAGGTGATACATGGCTCATCGGCGGCCGGAAGCGCGGCAACTTCAAGAGTCTGGGAGTAGACAAGTCGGACGCCAAGTTTGGAGAATCCGAGTTGCATGTTCCCGTGCTCATCGTACCGCTGCGCGAAGGACGGCTGCCCTACCCCAATGTGGAAATTCGCGAGGTCAAGAAGGAGGAGAATGACGAGACAGCTGGTCATCATGAGATCGATTACCAAAACATTGGCGAGACAGTACGGGTCGTTGCTGACTTGCAGCGGGTGACGCTGAGTCTGGATGCTAGCGGACCCAGTGGTGGTCCATTGGTTCTCGAGAGTGAGCGGCGCGAGTTCCATCATCGTATCTTATTATGATGATGCGATAGATGTCTTTCTTCAGCCATTGACTTGGCTGTGTGTGATAGATAATGAAGAATACAACGATAATAAGTCGAAAGCAATTCTCATTGAATTCCATAAGGCCATACAGGCAAGCGCGCTGTCGTTCTCCTCGGGGTTGCCGTTCTCCTCTGCGAGCTAGCAACAACTTCGCGTTGCCCGACGAATCCATGTGACTGCCCGCTCGTTCCACTTTGAGGCTCCGCGATGGCTACCAAGCCAATACGTGTTTGCAAGCGACCAACATATCCACTTCGCGTCCAGGACAGGAAGGTGCTTGAGCTGTGCCTCAGTACTCGTGACCAACCGGGCGTTGCTCCCCGCTGCGCCGTAAAGTAGTCATCCAACAAGGCCTCATTCGTCACCACGGAAGTGACCGGCTCTTTATTCACTATGCCAATGCACCTTGGCAACTGGAAGATCCATTTATAAATATCGGCTACAACAACGCCTCTAGAGATAGAATACATGTCTTCGACTTGATTCTATAACAGATCAAAACAATAACCACTTGGCGCCAAGAAAACACGATTTGTGCCAGCACATCGCTCGAGGACTGTTGATCCAGTGTTCTTTGCTCAGAACCATATTATATCAAGACTGCCTCCCGCCCACACGTACTCCGAACGAATCTCCTGCTACCAGATCAGTCCGATCGAGAGCTGTCTACAACCATTCTCCTTGGCGCACAAGCGTTCTGATCAAACATGTCTGATCAACTCAGCAAAACCGACAGTCAAACGCCGCTTATAAAGCACGAAACCTCCGAGTCTAAGCCAACATCCACGCCGAAGAAAAGGTCACTCTATCAACGCATGCAAGACCGAAACCGAGTTGAGATTTCCGAGGAGGAATTGCAAAAGTACACGGGGATGAGCAAGGCGGGTCTGCAGGATTGGGCCAAGGACCGCCCGGGGGTTGGAGCAAAAACACCCGCTAACACGGGGAAGAAGTTCGAGTCTTGGGAATCTATGCGTGTTACTACAGGGATTATGTGACGTTAGTGATTTACACTGCATGAGGTCGAGGATATAGTAACTGAGCTACATCTTCTGAAAAATGTCAACCCAAAATAATGAGTTAACACATAACAACTGGTGTGAAGTTCGATGTAGAGTCAACGATTGGAACACATATTTTGAGATGGTATGATGCTCTTGATGCCGAGTGTAAACACCTTAGATAGTATCATGTAGCAAAAGGTTTCCAGACCACATAACCTTCCATATTGGAATTTTGATTCATCTCCCCAATGGCTAGGGTACGACAATGGCACAAAGACTTCCGGGTATCATGATCTGTCTAGATTCCTTCAAGACTCATTAAGTATTCTGGACCTTTTGATCTAACGACAGGCCGTAGTCGGGATCATTTTAGCACATTGATATGTTCGATATCTTCCTCGAAGATCATAGAGTTACTGTTCTTGCATGAAATTTAAGTGCTGTGTGTGTGGGGTAACACTAGTCTATTCCCAAAAAAGATAGACGAAATGCGCGTTAAACAGGCTTCAATGAGTTTGCATGTAAGAATTGAGTATGTGCTAGGCCAAACCCCACTATATTACTTGCTTATATGAACAGAAGCTGCTTAGCTTTGTTACGTTCTCACAATAGCTTTAACTTTTGACCCTCGAGTGAGTTGCACCGCGGCCTCACCATTGACTCGTATCCGAGCAGCTCTATCTCAGACTACCCCTTCAGGCGATACCAGGTGAGACACGTCGGAGGGCCGACGCAACTATTCTGCCGTACTGCTTAAGGACCCGAACGGCGGGACGGCAAGTGGACTCCACGCCATCCCCCACTTTCCGTGCCGGGATTCGATACCACGTCGGCAGTGGGTTTGAGGGGCGGGAGCGGGGGATCGACACGAGCCGGGGCACGCGACCATCGTGGTTCTGGGCTGAACGATACGGGGTTCATATGTGTCACAACTTGAGAAGGTCTCAAACGACGCTGTTCAACACTTCCAAATTGACTACTGCTAGTATTTACACAAAGTCCGCTTATCAGATTGCGAATCTGCCTGGAACCACACCCTTCCTCATTCAAGCTCAACCCTCATGGCCGCAAATCAAAGTCTCGCGGGCAAGATTGCCGTGGTTTCCGGTAGTTGCAGTGGTATTGGGCATGCGATAGCGAAGGAGCTTAGCGCTCGAGGAGCCCACGCCGTGATAAACTACCCAAACGCCTCCCTAGCTGATGAAGCAGCCGCAGCAGTGGCGGTACTTTCCACCCCGGGAATCGCGATCGAAGCCAACATTAGCACTGTGGACGGACCGAAAAAGTTGATAGAAGGTGCCGTTGAGGCGTACGGTCACATTGACATTCTTGTCAATAACGCCGCAATTGCCATCAACCTGCCATTTGAGGAACAAACGCTCGATCACTGGGATTCTTTGGTCAATCTCAACGGTCGTGGAACATTTCTCTTGACGCAGCAGGCTCTGCCATACCTTACTCGTGGAAGTGGACGCATTGTCAACATTTGCTCCATTAGCTCCCGCGCTGCCCCGCCTCTACAAACTATTTACGCCGGGACCAAGGGGATGGTGGATTCTTTCACCCGGGTTTGGGCAAAAGAGCTTCCCCCGAAATATGGGTGCACCGTCAATGCTGTGTCCCCTGGTCCTACTGCGACGCACGGGTTCTTGAGTGCCGGAGAGGAAGCAATGAAGGTCCTAGGGCCTACGATTGAAGCAACGCCGGCAGCGAAAAGGCTAGGCAAGCCAGAAGAAATAGCGGACGCTGTGGCGTTTCTTTGCGAAGAACGATCCCGATGGGTCAATGGAGAACACATGTTCGTCAATGGGGGGCTTTACATGGACTGAAAGTTACGAGGTTATCGGAAAAGTCATAGAACATTGTCACGTTAACCTAAGGCATATGTTGAAACAAAGCGAATAACCTTGGAAGTCTCTAGTTCCCTGTTGCCTTCGTCCTTCCAAGTATCGCCTAAGCATCTACCTACAGCGACGAAGGATGGTGCGGGCAATGAATGAAGCGCTTAATACTGCAGTAGCCTATTCGCCGACCTCCCGATCTGGGTGCCAGTGAAGAAACTGCCTGGAAAACTTCCACTTCCATGTTGCCTGTCGCATTCGATTCCCAAAAAAGTAAAAGGGTATGGTTGACAAGAAAACGGCCGCCGATATACCCGCTAAGGTTCCAAATACGGAGAGATATCCTGACTCTTGTACCCAAACATTCACGTAAAAGCTGAGAAGAAATCCAAAAACGGCTACTCGAATGTCAGCTCTCCAAAAAGAAGTATGCCACCTCAAGAGTCATAAGTCAAACCCCCCACTTCCCGGCACCCCCCTGTTTCTGGCACCCACAAAAACGCGAAAATCCACCACAACGCAATGCCCACCCCCAACCTCCTTTTATCACAACATTTTCAATTCGAGTCCAAATGGGCTCATTTTTTGCACATACCTTCTTCTATATCTAATGCCTCAATATACCGAAGATCAGCTTGTCAGGCTCTCGAGGACATCTCAAACGGCAAGAGTCAAAAGAGAGCCTCATTGGTATGGGATACCACGATCAACCCTCCAACTACGTCTCCAAGGTGGTCAGACTAGGAAAGTGGCTTTTGCTGACTGGCAGAGGCTGTCTCCTGACCAGGAGAGTAAGCTGGCACAATGGGTTCGCATTCAGGCTTGCTGGGCCTCGCACCAACGCACCAACAGGTGAAGGAATTCGCAGAGCGAGTTCTGGCTGCTGCTGGGGATACCAAACCATTAGGAAAAGGCTGGATCTATGTCGTGAGAAGGAACCCTATCATTAAGGTTCAGAGAAGTCGTTCCATCGATTCTAGACGCGTTAATGGGGCATCTACTGAGGTCATTAGGAACTGGTTTAAGTTCCTTGCTATCCCTGAGATCAAGGACATCAAACCAGCCAACAGATATAATATGGATGAGACTGGCATCCTCGAGGGTCAGGAGCTAATGGGTTAGTGCTGGGCATGGCTGAGACGACGTCTGTTCGCAAGAAACAACCTGGGTCGAGGGCATGGGTCTCTATCATTGAGTGTATCTCAGCCTGGGTAGGGCACTTCGTCCTCTTATCATTTTCAAGGGAAGACGGTCCAACAACAGTGGTTTCCATTACATCTGGTTCCATACGATGGGTGGAGTTTACAGCAACAGATAATGGCTGGACTACAGACTTAACTGCCATTGAATGGTTAGAGAAGGTGTTTATCCCACAGACTATGCCCGAGGCTGAGGCGAGGCTCGACCTGATTGTGGATGGGCATGGAGTCATACGACGACAGACTTCATGTGGAATTGCTATATTAACAATATCCATTTACTGTTCTTACCACCACACTCCTCATGTCCTCCAGCCACTTGACCAGTCTGTCTTCAGCCCTGTTAAGTCAGCCTATCGGAAGGAGCTCGGTTACTTGTCTCAATGGAACGACTCTACCATTATAGGTAAAAGGAACTTCCTGGACTGTTACCAGAAGCCTGACTTGCTGGTCTATCAGTCTCGAACATCAGAAGTGGTTGGAAGTGGACTGGTCTACACCCTGTAGCGATGGTTAAGCCCTGATGAACCTATGGTATTACCTGAGCCTTCTGCTAAGCCCACCACACCCAAACCAACCAGTCGGGGCAAAAAGCGATGCCATAATGGTCAACAAACTACCCCTGTTGAGCCATGGGATTCTGCTTCCTCTGCAGTGGTCTGGTCGACACCCAGGGCTGGCAGAGCTCAGCGGTCAACTGCACTTATACACCCAACTCGACAATGATACCAGCACTCAACGGCTGCTGTTCAGGAAGGTGAAAAAAGGCTTCACAGAGCAGGCCTGGCAACTGGCAGCTGCCCAGCAGCAGCTGGCTCACCTGAGGGCTCAAGTTACCAACGCTGCAGTTAGGAAGAGGAAGACTGTTCAGATCGATCCCAACACGAAGTTTGCGAACATCAGGGATATCCATCGGGCTCAAATCGAAGCGGGTGAAAAGGAGGTTATTACGGCTGAATCCAGCGACTCTGAATGCCCTAGTGAGGCTGGCAGTTGTATTGTAGTGGGTGTGGTTGAGGATCAATAGTTAATAGTAATGAGGAGGTTGGGTTGTGATCCCATCGTTTTTGTGGGTGCCAGAAACAGGGGGGTGCCAGGAAGTGGGGGGTTTGACTTACCTATAATGTATCTTTCTAATCTTTTGCTAATCTGTTTGCTCCTAGAATCCAGGTAGACCGCCATATTTTGCAGTCAAAGAGATAAGTGGCGCGGACCACGAATCCTATCGCAAAGAGCTCAGAGCTCTCGAAAGATCATGCGCTAGGGTACTAAGAGAAAGACAACATCTTATAGAGCTACTTCTTACTTTCCAGTATGGCAACCAGCCATATATTGTATTCGAGTAGGCAAATGGTAATTTGGGGCAATTCTGGAAAAGGAGACAGGTTGAGACATAACCCTCAACGACAAAGTGGATGACGAAGCAATGCCGGGGTATTGGCAGTGCCATTAAACGCCTTAATGGACTGGCGACATTGCAGAGAGAAGAAAGGGCGTCGGGTCTAGAAGAGACGCGGGGTCAAGGATTGGGGAGGGCGACTAATATATTGTGGTTGTTGACCCACGCAGAAGATCGGAACCACCTCGTTGCTGCTGATTTGAGATTGACACGATGTCACTCGAGCCCAACGAAGTCCCGAATCATGAGAGTCGACGGCTATACTGAAACCTACCCAGCCTTGAAAATCGACTTTGGCAGCCCCATTTCGCCCAACTATGGCATCTGGTCACTCGGGTGCGTTGTTTTCGGATTTTGCATCTGGTATTTACTAGAATCTGAAAACGTCGAGAACTTCCAGAGAGATCACAATCTCAATCGCTGGTCAAATGATGAGAATGACGTAGAAGAACCTGATAATAGTTACTTCATAACCTCGCATATGTCTGGCAAGGGTAAGAAAGTCCAGCTTCACCAAGCTGTGCATAAGGTGATAAAACACATCTGGACTTTCAA